CAAACTGCTGTCCCACAACCAAAAAACACATTTAAAAAGCATTTAAGTATTCAAATCTTAGATGTTTACTAAGATCCTTCTACTCTCTATTGAAACCCACAATAATATTTAAAATATCAGTAAGCTTAATATATATATAAAATGATCATTTATTGGGTACTTTCAATTGGGAGGTGGCTGTCCCGAACCCTAACCCCTAAATCTCAACTTATGAAAATGATATTGAAATAATTTGTGTATTTTTTTTCCATTGTTGTTTTTAAAAATACAACATTTGGTGGAGTTTCGGTAGTGACATCTTTGTTGTTTTTTTGGGGTGTTATCCTATAAAATTTTCACGACCGAAACATGTCTTCATTGTTTCGGTAGTGACAAAAGAGAAAGCATAATCTTCATATTTGGGGGAAATAAGCACAATTCTTGTTCAGTTATGCAGTTTTTTAGTATGTTTTAGTATGCAAGTTAAAATTCTGTAACGTGATGTGGTCGCTACCAAAGCATTACTGTCGCTACTGAAAGTGTGCAGTCACTACCGAAACATGGGATGTTTTGTCAAAAATAAAGTATACTGAATTATCAACTAAGATGTTATGATAGTTTTTGGTTCAATGTATATTCAAACTAATGCATCCTTAACTTTGAAATCAGTATGATCAACTTTATGCCTTTTACAAAGAAAGATTGGATTCAAAATACAACAAATCTCATAAATTACACTTGAAATATTGTTAAAAATGTAATTGTTATTGATTTACCTCTGGAAAAATTTAATAAAATAGCAAAAAATATATATTTACAATGTAGATTCAAGCAAAATCTTAATAGGTCAATATAACCCTTCTAATTAAATTATTATTACTGTGTTTCGGTAGTGACACATTTGGGGAGAGGACAAATATTCCAAAACATTCTGAAAACACAATATGAGAATTAACTGCACAATTACTAGAGATATGTACCTTGGATATTATACAATTTGCATACATAACATTTTATTTCCAAGACATTTTAACTTTTTAATTTTAACCAATTCTGTAGAATGACACGTGTACATAACCCTAATTAGTTAGAAACACTCTCTGCATTTGGATTTGCTGACATTGGGTTCGTTGACATGCCTTTGAAAGTCATCCTACGGAGAGTTTGAAGTTAGCAAAACTTCTAAAATTGCAACACCTTTACCTACTTTAAAGGGCTAGTTCGCCAAAAAAGTGAATATTCTGTCATGATCATTTACTCACCCTCAAGTTGTTCCAAACCTGTATGAATTTCTTTCTTCTGCTGAACACAAAAGAGGACCAAACAACTGACGGCAGCCAATGACTTCCATAGTGTTTTTTACCATACTATGGAAGTCAATGGCTGCCGTCAACTGTTTGGTTACCAAAATTTTTTGCATGAAGTGTCCAACATTCCACACTTTGTTTTTTCTGTTATTTAAGTGCATCATCCGGGTATATAAAGTGCACTTTTTCTTTTTGGTATTTACAGTGTGAACGCACTACTCGCACTATTCATACTAAAAAACGTCATAGAATAGTGCATAAGTATGCAATTTGGGACGCACCTATTCATACAGGTTGAGTAAATGATGACAGAACTTTCATTTTTGGGTGCACTTTCCCTTTAATACTAAAGAACTGTATTATGAAAGTAGGCTCTCCAACACTGCTGTTCTGGTATTTGGCTGAAGTCGGAGAGACAGAGTCTGTGCCATCATGTACCTGGAGTCTCTCCACAGCCTCCTCTTTGCTGATGTGCGCAGTGGGACTGGTGGGCGTCACACCCTCCATCGGTGCATCAGAGGTAGACGGTGCATATGAGAGCGAGGGCTGATGGAGCTCACCTGACGCTCCTCCCAAAGCCAGGCGGCCCGTTTCAGTCCCTGAGAGAAATGAGTGCGCCAGTTACTGATCAAGTGAATGTTAGTGTAATTGGTCACACTGGAGTTTTTTTTTATTCCATGTCTGTTAAAGGGATAGTTCACCCAAAAATGAAAATTACCCCATGATTTACTCACCCTCAAGCCATCCTAGGTGCGTATGACTTTCTTCTTTCAGACGAATCCAATCGGAGTTTCATTAAAAAATGTCCTGGCTCTTCCAAGCTTTATAATGGCAGCGAATGGGTGTTTCTGTTCAACAGTCCAAAAGAAGTCCAATAAAGTGCATCCATGAAGCGCGTACGACAGTCAGCGGAAGCTAGAGATTATGGTTTATAAAGTTTTAAATATGGATATTTTTCTTACACAAACGCATTGATTCGCTACAGGAGGCCTTTATTCACCCCCCGGAGCCGTGTGAGGCACTTTTTATTATGGATGGATGCACTTTATTGGACTTCTTTTGGACTGTTGAACAGAAACACCCATTCGCTGCCATTATAAAGCTTGGAAGAGCCAGGACATTTTTTAATATAACTCCGATTGGATTCGTCTGAAAGAAGAAAGTCATATACACCTAGGATGGCTTGAGGGTGAGTAAATCATGGGCTAATTTTAATTTTTGGGTGAACTATCCCTTTAACTTCTGTGCATCCTGTGACCATGTGATCAGATTTCCCTCCCCAGTACTCATTACTGTAATGCAAAAATACCTAATATACTACCGTTCATAAGTTTGGGGTCAGTAAGATTTTTGTTTTTACTTTAATCCAGCAAGGATTCATTAAACCAATCAAAAGTGACAGTAAAATCATGAATAATTTTACAAAAGATATATAATTAAAATAAATGCTGTTCTTTTGAACTTTCTATTCATCAAAGAATCCTGAAACGGTTTCCACCAAAAACATGAAACAGCACAACTGTTTTCAACATTGATAATAATCAGAAATGTTTCATGTTTCTTCTGAAGGATCATGTGACACTGCAGACTGGAGTAATGATGCTGAAAACTCATCATAGCAATTGATTACATTTTAACATAGATTCACATATAAATATTTAAATAAAAAACTATTTTTTGAAATTGGTACAATATTTCAGTTAAAAATTTTTTTTATTAAATATAATTATTTATTAAATAAATATAGCCTTGCTGAGCATAATAGTGTAGAATTAAAAAAAATAATAATTTAATAAAACAATAAAAAAATAAAAATAAAAAAATAATACAGACCCCAAAAATTTTAACAGTACTGTATATTATTAACCTCAACAGCCTTTTATTTATGCTTATTTAAATAATAATAATACAAAACTATTAAACTTTTTTTTTTTACAATTATAAATAGCCATTTATTATTTTAAGTAAGGAGAATCTAATGAGAATCACCACTGAAAATGAATGAAAAATTATGTCTATGCAAAAATCTCAAAGGCTATAAAAAGGCTTAAAATACTTTTTTCCTTTGCTTTTGTGGTGAATGGGTTATGTTTGAATATGTTTTCATGAGATCAACCCATGTCACTGCATGGCACACCAAAGATATTCCTACACGCAATCGAGACCGTTTTCAACTTTGCTTTAAAGGAACGCGGCGAGTCTCCAAGACACATATGTTTATCCCTAATTTAGCGCGCGGTCCACTTGTGAGCTCCTGAGACAGCTGTTACTGATGTGAACATTACCTGAAGCAGCGATGAGGTTACTGAGCCCCTGAGACAGGAGGAGCTCTTTGAGTCTGTTGACCTCTTCTTTCAGCTCCCTGACAAGCCGTGCGTTCGGATCCTCGTTAATGACAGCGTTACACTTTATCTGCTTGGCTCTGTCTGCATACCTGCAGCCACACACACACACACACACACACACACACACAGTGCTGCTTAAACAGCATGTACAGGACACAGACAGCTCAATATGGCTCTCTCGGGTGTGTTTTTACCTGAGAGTACCGAGTGTTTCTTCATAATTAATATCTGCGGGGCTCAGAGCAGCAATCATGGCCGTGCGCGAGTTTCCACCTTCAAACACAAACACATAATTAAACTCTGCGAGGAGCATTAAACAACAGACGGTTAGAGACTCGTTCGCAACAAAACCAAAAAGGTCTATTCACACCAAAATGAAAAGCATTTAGTACCCTATTCAACATTCCTTTATGTAATTATTAAAGTGAAATATTAATACGTCAACAAATTAAAGCTTTGTAGTATTTCTCAATTAGGTAAATAATGTTTTTAAAGCAATTGTTCAAGTAAACTGTCAGTCAGTAATAGAGAAATAAGTGAAGAGCAGTATAGTTATTTTTCTTCTCAATATTGCTGTTTGATTGATATTAATAACATAATAGAGCGCGACAGGTCTATTAGACCTCATTTTTTGGGCACTTGCTCATTCACTACTATTCAAAAGTTTGGTGTCAGTAAGATTTTTAAAATGTTTTTGAAAGAAGTCTCTTCTGCTCACAAAGGCTGCATTTATTTCAACAAAAACTGTAATATTGTGAAATATTATTATGATTTAAAATAGCTGTTTTCTATGTGAATATCTGTTAAATGTAATTTATTTCTGTGATCAAAGCTGAATTTTCAGCATCATTACTCCAGTCTTCAGTGTCACATGATCTTCAGAAATCATTCTAATATGCTGATTTGCTGCTCGAGAAACATTATTATTATTATCAATGTTGAAAACAGTTGTGCTGCCGAATATTGTTGTGGAAACCGAGATATATATATATTTTCTGGATTCTTTGATAATTAGAAAGTTCAAAAGAACAGCATTTATTTGAAACAGAAATCTTCTAAAATTTTATACATATCTTTACTGACATTTTTGATCAATTTAATGTCTCTGAGCTGAATAAAAAAACTTACTTTCTTTAAAAAAAAAAAAAAAAAAAAAAATCTCACTGACCCTGGATTTTATAACAGTAAAGTATTCAAGACAAATCAACTGTTTACATAAATAAGCATTTTAAAAATCCAGGCAACCGAAACTTCCAAAAATCCTTAAAGACGTCGTAAAAGTAAACCGCACTTGCTTGATGAGCGAGAACAAACCTCAGCGGCTCTTGCAGAAGCTCGAGTGTCTTTATGAATGTTGTGAAGTGTCCAAATTTTGGTTGCATGGATGTGTAATCTTTCAGGTGACACTGAATTTATCTTCATTTGTATTTTGAAGAAATACACTTTTAGAACAACATGAGGGCGAGTCAATGAAGTCCATTTTTAGGTGAACTATCCCTTTAAATATGGCAATTTCATTAACACTGGAATTCTTTTAATTTTTTTTTATATGTGACCCTGGACCACAAAACCAGTGGTGAAATTTGAAAATCTGGAATCTGAGGGTGCAAAAAAATCAAAATATTGAGAAAATCATCTTTAAAGTTGTCCAAATGAAGTTCTTAGCAATGCATATTACTAATCAAAAATTAAGTTTTGATATATTTACGGTAGGAAATTTACAAAATATCTTCATGGAACATGATCTTTACTTAATATGCTTATGATTTTTGGCATAAAAGAAAAATCAATAATTTTGACCCATACAGTGTATTTTTGGCTACTGCTACAAATATACCCCAGCGACTTATGACTGCTTTTGTGCTGCAGGGTCACATATCTACATCTTTCAGAAGACACACAGCTGCTATCTGCACCTCTGTATGTTCCCGGAAGCCCACATGAAGAATATGCATCACAAAATTATTGTTCTGTTACCATTTAATCTTGTTGTTCAGCTGTGCTTGTATTCACAGGTAAGTTAGAGAGCATCTCCAGATTTAAAATCACTTTCTGCCAGAAGACTTCATTAATGACTAGTTGGATGTCACATAAACTTCTAGTTGGCTTTGAGAATCAGACCAAACTGGTTTTAGACGCCAGAGAGTCTGTGAACAGGCCTTACCTAGATTTTCTCTCAACAGCCACGTGAGCACAGAATCCCTGTAGGGAATGAAATCAGAGCGTCTCTTCTTCGAGCCCTGCTGTGGAGGAGAAACATACTGTTACTCTTGACAAAGAACTCTGCATTTGAGACAAAACACTGAAAGACAATTGAAGAGATGAAGACACTGATGAGAAATGAGGTGAAGAACTGAACCGAAGCAGCAGTAAGAAACAAAGGAGAGACGCAACTACTAAAGAAAAGAAAAAGAAGAAGTTCCTACCATGTCTGCCAGTGCTGAGATGACTTTACCCAGTGTTGTCAGAGATTTGTTAATATTGGCTCCCTCCTAAAAAAAGACATGATGCTTTTAAACTTTCTGTTAATGCTTGATAAGATTAATACAACCAAAAGTAAGTTGTCATAATTTACTCCGCAGAATGCTTTTCTGGAGCTTTTCAATGTAATTCAAGTAACTGTCCAACACACACACACACACACACACACTCACGGTCAAACATATGGAAAAAATACGATTTTTATTGTTTAAAAAAAAGTCTCTTCTGCTCACTAAATCTGCAGCTATTTCATAAAAAATACAGTAAAAACAGTAATATTCTGAAATATTATTACAATTTAAAATAGCTCTTTTATATGTGAATATCTGTTCAAATGTAATTTATTTCTGTGATCAAAGCTGTATTTTCAGCATCATTACTCAATCTTCAGTGTCACATGATCTTATGAAATCATTCTAATATACTGATTTGCTGCTCAAACATTTCTGATTATTATCAATGTTGAATGATACACTACCCATTCAAAAGTTTGGGGTCAGCAAGATTTTTTTTTTAAAGAAATTAATACTTTTATTGCATAATGATGCTTACAATTGATCAAAATTGACAGTATAGGCATTTATAACGTTTCAAAAGATTTCTATCTCCAATATTCCAATATTTCTATTCATTAATCAAAGAATCCTGAAAATGTATCATGTATAATGTATCATGGTTTACAGAAAAATATTAAGCAGCAAAAACTGTTTCCAACATTATAAATAAGAACCATTATTAATAATTGAGCACCAATAATAACTGACAATAAGTGAGCATCAAATCAGAACATTAGAATGATTTCTGAAGGATCATGTAACTCTGATAGAAAAGTTGTTTTAGATTATAATATTCACATATGTATTGTAATATTTCACAATATGACTGTTTTTACTGTATTTTTGATCAAACAAATACATCCTTATATATATATATATATATATATATAATTTATTTTATATTTATATAGCACCATTCAAAACAAAGTTACAAAGTGCTTTATATCTGAAAGAGTCCTTAAGATTCTAAATGGAATCTTTCTTTCAAAGATTGAAAATCTAATAATTGTCCTTTTATCCATTATTGAACAATAGGCAGTAATCCCTTTCTTAGACCATACTTTGAAATGCATTTCTAACGAATTTGGTTTAAAGTCTGAGTCATATGTAAATAAAGATCCCTTATTTTATACTCATACCAAATTTTAAGAGTTGCCCTAATCCATTGATTTTTTTGTTTTTGATTCGATTTTCATCTTTCATCTGTCGCTTGTATAGTAATCTGCACCGAAGGACCGTTTCTGAGTCAAAAATTACACCTAGGTTGCGGTCCTATTTCCGGACTTTATTAGATAAGGACTAGTACTACTGGGGCCACACGGGGTGATTACAAGCACCTCTGACTCGGAGTCATTCAACTGCAAAAAAATGTTTTGGCCATCCAATTTTTAACCTCAGGACATAATATGTGATGTATCAATAATATGAGATCTGACAGACCTTCAGCCTCATGCCTTTGGCTCCGGATGAGTCTGCTCTCTCACTTCCTGCCAGATCAACCAGACTGATCTTGCTCACCTGAACGGAAGACGAGAAACCAGACTGAGCGCAGAACAGCAACAGACGAGTGTTTTATAATGCCTGACACACACCTTCTCGGTGTCCAGACTGGTCATGTTATCATGTCGACGCTGAGTGAAGAGGATTGTGAAGACCGCATGCGAGCGACTGCTGGTCTCGTTCATGTTAGTAGCAGCAACCGTCCTTAAAGTAACAGAAAACAAATAATATATTTAATCAAAGTAATGTATGTAATCAGAACAAGAAAAAGGTAGTCGGTTACAAAATCAAAACAACATTATATAATATATATATATTAATGTGTTATTATATTTATGAAAGTAACGTGTGTACGTTCCTGAAAAACACTTGGCTAAAACTACAAGATCACACAGCTTTCATTCATGCACATCTAAATACTTGTCAAACGTATTTGAACAGTTATACAAGTTAATAAATGTGAATTATAAAACGGAGAGTTCCGGTGCTTGATTCTGATTGGCTGAGCCACGTTCGAAGCTGTTGTAAATAACTCTACAAAGTAACATACACCTTTGTTTACGTTTGTGTGTTGCTCGGCAACCACTTTGTTGCAACCACAACTGATTCTGAGGAACTACATTGTTTGGTGGAAGAATACTGTTTTTATTAATATCATTACACTTTATTTGCTCTGTTTTATTTTGTGAAACCTTACTACGTATATGGAATAACCGTTTTATAAAAGCAATAATCCCCGTGAAGCCGTGGTTTACAGTGAATTTATAACAGCTATATAATTTATTTTATATTTATATAGCACCATTCAAAACAAAGTTACAAAGTGCTTTATATCTGAAAGAGTCCTTAAGATTCTAAATGGAATCTTTCTTTCAAAGATTGAAAATCTAATAATTGTCCTTTTATCCATTATTGAACAATAGGCAGTAATCCCTTTCTTAGACCATACTTTGAAATGCATTTCTAACGAATTTGGTTTAAAGTCTGAGTCATATGTAAATAAAGATCCCTTATTTTATACTCATACCAAATTTTAAGAGTTGCCCTAATCCATTGATTTTTTTGTTTTTGATTCGATTTTCATCTTTCATCTGTCGCTTGTATAGTAATCTGCACCGAAGGACCGTTTCTGAGTCAAAAATTACACCTAGGTTGCGGGCCTATTTCCGGACTTTATTAGATAAGGACTAGTACTACTGGGGCCACACGGGGTGATTACAAGCACCTCTGACTCGGAGTCATTCAACTGCAAAAAAATGTTTTGGCCATCCAATTTTTAACCTCAGGACATAATATGTGATGTATCAATAATATGAGATCTGACAGACCTTCAGCCTCATGCCTTTGGCTCCGGATGAGTCTGCTCTCTCACTTCCTGCCAGATCAACCAGACTGATCTTGCTCACCTGAACGGAAGACGAGAAACCAGACTGAGCGCAGAACAGCAACAGACGAGTGTTTTATAATGCCTGACACACACCTTCTCGGTGTCCAGACTGGTCATGTTATCATGTCGACGCTGAGTGAAGAGGATGGTGAAGACCGCATGCGAGCGACTGCTGGTCTCGTTCATGTTAGTAGCAGCAACCGTCCTTAAAGTAACAGAAAACAAATAATATATTTAATCAAAGTAATGTATGTAATCAGAACAAGAAAAAGGTAGTCGGTTACAAAATCAAAACAACATTATATAATATATATATATTAATGTGTTATTATATTTATGAAAGTAACGTGTGTACGTTCCTGAAAAACACTTGGCTAAAACTACAAGATCACACAGCTTTCATTCATGCACATCTAAATACTTGTCAAACGTATTTGAACAGTTATACAAGTTAATAAATGTGAATTATAAAACGGAGAGTTCCGGTGCTTGATTCTGATTGGCTGAGCCGCGTTCGAAGCTGTTGTAAATAACTCTACAAAGTAACATACACCTTTGTTTACGTTTGTGTGTTGCTCGGCAACCACTTTGTTGCAACCACAACTGATTCTGAGGAACTACATTGTTTGGTGGAAGAATACTGTTTTTATTAATATCATTACACTTCATTTGCTCTGTTTTATTTTGTGAAACCTAACTACGTATATGGAATAACCGTTTTTATAAAAGCAATAAGCCCCGTGAAGCCGTGGTTTACAGTGAATTTATAACGGCTAAGGGGCGCGTCGTACCTAACAACGCCCCTTAGCTGTTATAAATTCACTGTAAACCACGGCTTCTTGGGGCTTATTGCTTTAATATGAAAGCATTAATGCTTTAACATTAACTAGACAGCTTCAGCTGTCCAACAATCACTTTTCACCGCTGCAGCGCTCCTGTGGTCAAAATGCATCATTGTCTACAATTGTCTAGAAGTAATTATTTCAGCCCTACCTCACACAAGTATGCAAACTCAGACATATAGCTATGTGAGCTCAATTAAAAAAAAAAAAAAACATTTTAACTACTACTGTCATACTAGAGCAAGTGTTTAAAGAGAATCTCACTAAGCTAGTTAAGTTAGTCAGTAAACTGTCAACATGTTTATAGCCTGAATAACACATCTAGTTGGTTATTAGAAGGTAACTACCACCACAGTAATGTGAGAAATCATGCTGGCAATACCTCAGCATTCTTGCCTAGATTTTTGTTCATGCACAGGCCTTGTGTTTCTGTCCTTAGCTAGTGATTTTGTTTTTATTATTATCGTTACCGGTTTTATTTATGTATTTATTTTTGTTATCTGCACTTCTAATAACGCTGCTATTTCAAAACTGTTCTGCACACAGTGAAAAGCATCTTTGTTTTGCTTCATTTGTTTGCCTTTAATTTGCATCTTATTTGAATGAGCTCATTGAGCAAACAGAATGACATGCTTTTTTTCAATTAAATGCTGAAATTAATAATACCTGGCTTTGTTGCCAGTGTCCATGAGATCTGCAATATCACTGTAGTTGGTAACTGCCATTTTGGAGAGGTCTTCTACGTAAGGGCCCATTATCGGGTGCTCTCTGACCCTCAAGGACCCTTTGCTTTTTGGGTTCAGCAAGTCCCGAACCCGCTCACAGTAAATCTCCATATATGAAACCTAAAAAATAGACATGGCATTATATCAGATCTTTTATTGACTGTATAATGCATAAGGAGTCGCTCATTTTATTTCAGAAACTGTTGTTTAATCTGAACTCGCATACTTTATGAGGCCATGCATCAAACGATTCTCGCAGTTCTTTTAACACTGTAAATGCACTCGAGCATACCTCAACAGAGAAGGACAGGTCAGGGTCAGTGTTATCTGCCGTCTGTCTGAACAAATCCTCGCACATCTATGGGGAAAAAATGAAACACAATGAGAGAGATGAGAGCTCAACTCGATTAAATTCAAGTATAGAATTAACCAATAACTACTTCAAGTAGTTGAAGTAATTTCTATTAGTACCTCTGACGAGCCACCCACTACTCCCTAATAAACGGACCAATTATGTTTATTACATTATTTTGTTTATTATGAATGCATATCTTTAACACAATTGACCCTTCGCAAAGACCCATCGCTCTTGGTTACTGTTGCTACGTCCGACAAGCCATAGCTACGGTGGACCAGTAGTGCACAACACAACGGAAATGCTCGCGCTCCCTTTCTTGGCCACTATAGAGGATGCGTTAAAACCAAGCGGCAACCTCCCGCTCTCTCTCGTGAAGCCAACAAGGAAGTGACTTAAACTGTAATTCATCAACTGGCCACTAGAGGCTGGCTGCAAAAGGGAGTCAATCCCATAGACTCCCCATGTTAAAATGCCCAACTTTACAGCAGAAAAAAACATGTTTACAGCCTGGTTCAAAAAATTATTTTGGTCTATATAGCTAATTTTGCCCTTCATGACAACTGTGAGGGGGGTGAATTTTTTTATAACTCATCCGTTTAAATTATATTAAGCCTTAAGACTAACGAAATTCAAATTTTGAGCATTTTACTGTAGTACCAATTTTTTTAAAACCATTAGCCAAGTCACGCAAATTTAAAGTGTCATTTAAAAATCCTGGTGCAGTAAAAGCTCTTAAAAATTATTAATACTGTTAGACCATTAACTCTAGTATGCAGCCCAAATTTTAGCTTTAAAGCATTGTTTACGTGGCCGTGAGGCACAGCGTTATGAAATTAATTCAACTGTAAAAATATGTGCAAGTTCAAGAGTATGGTATTGGTATAGTAAATTATTCAAAATTAGGGTTTCATTAGTCCATTACCACTATATAAAGCTTGCATGTTAGTTTTACGCCTTTATAGAAGGCAGTGGCTATTTGCAGTGTAAGTAGCATATTTTAGATGCTGTTTACATTAAATGACAATAGAAAGTATTTTATGGATGCAGTGTTTGCACTAAGTGAAAATAATAGTTAGATACTATTTACAGGCTATAGATAGATGTTTGCACCTCAGTTTTGTTCTACATTAACAGGATGCAATATTAATGTAGAGTGTAAATTATTTTATTTATTAAAAGTATTAAATGGATGCCGCTATTGGGACAATAAAGCCCTCCATACACCTATACCCCTAACCCTGATATACTTCATTATTAAACACTCGTTAGCTTACATATATGTGTTTGTGTGCATAGGACCATTTCCATTGTGTTGTGCTCATTTTGTTGTGTTGCGGAGATTTCACTGTATTGTGCACTACTGGTCCACCGTACATAGCGCTCTCACGTAGTGAAAAAAACGAGGACACTGACGCGCCGACAGACAAGACAGAGCAGGTTACTTCTGCTATGAAACAAAGTCTCAGCTTTCAGATTTTGTCATTTTGTAAGAAATTCAAACAATGAACACCGTTTGCGTTTTAATGTGTTAAACGTTAAACCTCTTTAACGTGTGGTGACAGATCACTGTAGCGCCTCAGTTCAAGCGGCTCGTGAACCGATCATCTCTTCCTCTTGACTAGTTATACCACGAAATAAACATTAGTGAACATCAGAAGCTATCTTGTATATCTAGCTATCTAATACTTGATTCTGATTGGTCAAATCAGGGCTTTCGGCAGTCTGATAATTCCTAATAGAGTGCATCTGTCCCCGCTCCCACTATTTCAGCAGCCTTCCTTCTTGGTTCCTATTTATTTTTTTCCCATGATGACTTTAATAAAGTCTTTGTTTTATCAGAAAATCCTCTGTTAAACATGATTTAAAATTAGCTGAAACAATGCAGGCTGATGGATTCAACAAAAGATATGTCATCGATTAACAACTACAGCAGGTCTGTTTTTAAGGTTTAGAATTTATCACTAAAAATCCTCTATGGAGAAAACAAAAAGGGATTTTTATTTTTTTTATCAACTGTTGACCGTCGTTCATGGAAACCCTATAAATCAAGCCGCTCATCGGCATACCTACCTACCTACCACATCTACCTTTTATACCCACAACAGGTCTGTTTTTAAGGTTTAGAATTTATCACTAAAACTCCTCTATGGAGAAAACGAATGGGATTTTTATTTTTTTTATCAACTGTTGACCGTCGTTCATGGAAACCCTATAAATCAGGCCGCTCATCGGCATACCTACCTACCTACCACATCTACCTTTTATACCTCTTGTATCACAGAGGACTTACAAACTTAACTCTTACATCTCAATTATCAACTGTACTGAAAATTAAACAGAAGGACCTAATATTATAGTAATACTGTCGTAGTGATTTAATTTTGTATACACACACGCACACGCACGCATGCACGCACGCACAATATTATACATGTACGATTTTAAAATAATTTTGACTCAAGTCATTATTTCATGTCCACATCATTATTTATTAGTGGAGTACTGGTGTAATATGCAAAACATAATTTTAAAGTGGTCATGACATGCCTCTTTATTATTTTAGTACTGTATGTTCCTTGAAGTTTACTTATACCTTTAGTAAGTTTTTTGTAGAAAAAACAGCCACATATTTGTTAAACGGCTGGTTTTGGTGCTACGTCTTCTTTCAGATGCCCACAATTACGGCTGGTTAATGTTGTTTTGGCAGTTTGGTTTCTACAAATGATCTTTTTGCAGTGAGGAGAAATTCTGGGGTCTGAAACCTACAGTATTTTTTTGGTACAATGAATAATACAGTATGTGAAAAGAAAAAAAAGAACAAAAAAAATCGATTCCTCATGCCAAGACATTTCCTAAGTGCTGTTCATTCAGTTATGTGCACAATTTTTGAATTAGCGAAAAAAAAAAAAATATATAATAATAATAATAATTACTAAGTGCACCTTTAACATAGACAAGCCATTCAGACTACATCATTCAAAATAGCTTCTGTTTTTTTGTCCTCCATAGTGAAATCTTACATAGCAACACATTAAACATCAAATATATACTGACTCCATCGCTTTGTTCATTTCACTTGTGGTGGACAGAAAAAAAAAGCTTTTATTCACGCTATCTGCATAAAATACCTGTGGTATGATGCCTTGCTGTCCCGGATCCTGTTTTCCCATCATTGTGTACGACTTTCCTGCACCAGTCTGTCCATAAGCAAAAATGCACACATTATAGCCCTCGAAAGCATGAAGCAGCATCTCCTCGCCAATGTCCTGATACACCTTCCCCTGAGATGCAAAGGATGGGTCTTCTTCCTGCAAACACACAGAGGAAAAAGGGAGTTTTCTGTGTTCAGATGAATGTCTGAGGAAGATCAATGCTAGTATTTCATACATAAAATTGCATCTTGATTTTATGCACCTTTTTGTTCTGTACCGTTTGCATTTACATGCAAGAATAAACATCTGAAGTTATATATATATATTTTTCTGTTTCTTGCCACAGTTGCCTTTGATGAACTCACTCGCAAAATAAGACGTATGAACTGTGGCATGATTTCCAATCATGTATTTGATGAAATGGGGACTTTATAGACCTTACAGCATGAAGTTGTTACAGTATACCTTTCCGTATAGCTGCTTTATTGACAGGTTCATGCAATTAAAAATATTGCGGCAGCTACAGTCTTGCATCCTATCTCACCCGTTTATATTGCAAACTGAGACAAAGCCTAGTTTTTTGTTTTTTGGTGTGATGTATTCAAACTTACTGAGCTGTGTGACCAGTATGAATAGTCAAAAGTGAAGTTCTTGGGTGCTTCCTTGGGTTGCTTGGGATTAATAATACCTGTTAAACATAGACACACAGTATTGGTGAGTCATGAAATTCGACATAAACACATGAAATTCATCTCCAGCTGCTCTAAGAGTCTCTTCATGAGCATTTTACCAATTAATTTGAGAAAAAAAAAACTATCATCATATTATACACACACAGAAGTTAAGGTCTCCATGGCAACCAGTCAAAATAAAAGTTTGGTTTTGCTTGAAGAAATTGTGACAGAAATATGTTTATGTTGTACAGTAGAATGTACGCATTAATGATAATAATAATAATTATAAAAATATATATATATTTAAAACATTATTTTTAAGGAATAATCCAAATTTTTCTTCCGTGTTTTAATTTTAGCATAAACCTCTGTTGTGCAGCACTTTGTTTGCAAATTTTTTTTTAATTTATTTGATTATAAATTAGTTTTACGCCTTCAGTTGATTACCAGAAAAAAAAATTACATTTCACAGGATCCTAAACATTTATTTTTGTTAAACTTGTAATAAACTTATTAAACTGTGTAAGTGTAACGATTTCAATTAATTATACATGCTTTTTGATTACTACAATTTAATGTAAAAAAAAACAAACAAAAAAACACGGAATCCTGAAAAATGTAAATGGAAGAAAACAGAATTTGGAAAAAAATAAAATGGATTTCAAAGAACCCTAATATATTCAGGAAAAAACAGCACTCTTGCCTGTGTAATATTGCTGAACTATATCATAAAATATAAATATAAGACAAAAAAACATACAGGTCCTCATATTTTGAATTTTAGGCTACGCATTTAGTCATCATCATGTTCATCAGTAACTTCATGCAATGTAAGATGACATACAGGTCTGAACCGGGATGGGGTGCGTTAAATGCGTTAAGAATTTTGTGTTAAATTCACAGCCCTTTATATATATATATATGCATCACAGGCTGTGAAAAGAGCCAAGTACACAAGTGATTTGCTTCAACCTTTCCAAACTTGAACGTCTAGATGGCAGTGAGCAGAAAACGGCTGTCTCAAGCACACACAGATGTGCCACAGTGACATATAGCTGTGGTTAGAAATGAACACAATTGCAATCCTTCAGAATTGAGTCAAAATAGTGATGAATAATCTTTTCCTCTCACCACTATTTTGAGTGCACTGCATGCTCTGGTCAGCAGTGATTTTGCTTTTTTAGTAAGGACGGATATTTAACTCGATGTTAAAAAAAATTAAAACAATGCACGGATCTGGATCAGTATTGCCCTCTTTAAAATTCAGATTGGCGTAATCAACTTCAGATGGGTGTAAAAGTGAAACTACAGAGAGTAGGGTCTTTAACAGGAAGCCAAAGGCCCCAGCAGAATAAAGCACTGCTGGGTAACAATGAGCACCGCTGCCTTGAGCTCACACAGCTCAGTGTTTGTGCTGGAGGGGGTCAAAGCAAACAGACTGCCAGACCGGCAGACTCTTTAGAAAGAGAGAGAGAGAGAGAGAGAGAGAGAGAGCATTTCCTAAGTGCTGTTCATTCAGCTATGTGCACAATTTTTGAATTAGCGAAAAAAAAATAAAAAAAATAAAAAATAATAATTACTAAGTGCACCTTTAACATAGACAAGCCATTCAGACTACATCATTCAAAATAGCTTCTGTTTTTTTGTCCTCCATAGTGAAATCTTACATAGCAACACATTAAACATCAAATATATACTGACTCCATCGCTTTGTTCATTTCACTTGTGGTGGACAGAAAAAAAAAAGCTTTTATTCACGCTATCTGCATAAAATACCTGTGGTATGATGCCTTGCTGTCCCGGATCCTGTTTTCCCATCATTGTGTACGACTTTCCTGCACCAGTCTGTCCATAAGCAAAAATGCACACATTATAGCCCTCGAAAGCATGAAGCAGCATCTCCTCGCCAATGTCCTGATACACCTTCCCCTGAGATGCAAAGGATGGGTCTTCTTCCTGCAAACACACAGAGGAAAAAGGGAGTTTTCTGTGTTCAGATGAATGTCTGAGGAAGATCAATGCTAGTATTTCATACATAAAATTGCATCTTGATTTTATGCACCTTTTTGTTCTGTACCGTTTGCATTTACATGCAAGAATAAACATCTGAAGTTATATATATATATTTTTCTGTTTCTTGCCACAGTTGCCTTTGATGAACTCACTCGCAAAATAAGACGTATGAACTGTGGCATGATTTCCAATCATGTATTTGATGAAATGGGGACTTTATAGACCTTACAGCATGAAGTTGTTACAGTATACCTTTCCGTATAGCTGCTTTATTGACAGGTTCATGCAATTAAAAATATTGCGGCAGCTACAGTCTTGCATCCTATCTCACCCGTTTATATTGCAAACTGAGACAAAGCCTAGTTTTTTGTTTTTTGGTGTGATGTATTCAAACTTACTGAGCTGTGTGACCAGTATGAATAGTCAAAAGTGAAGTTCTTGGGTGCTTCCTTGGGTTGCTTGGGATTAATAATACCTGTTAAACATAGACACACAGTATTGGTGAGTCATGAAATTCGACATAAACACATGAAATTCATCTCCAGCTGCTCTAAGAGTCTCTTCATGAGCATTTTACCAATTAATTTGAGAAAAAAAAAACTATCATCATATTATACACACACAGAAGTTAAGGTCTCCATGGCAACCAGTCAAAATAAAAGTTTGGTTTTGCTTGAAGAAATTGTGACAGAAATATGTTTATGTTGTACAGTAGAATGTACGCATTAATGATAATAATAATAATTATAAAAATATATATATATTTAAAACATTATTTTTAAGGAATAATCCAAATTTTTCTTCCGTGTTTTAATTTTAGCATAAACCTCTGTTGTGCAGCACTTTGTTTGCACATTTTTTATTTATTTATTTGATTATAAATTAGTTTTATGCCTTCAGTTGATTACCAGAAAAAAAAATTACATTTCACAGGATCCTAAACATTTATTTTTGTTAAACTTGTAATAAACTTATTAAACTGTGTAAGTGTAACGATTTCAATTAATTATACATGCTTTTTGATTACTACAATTTAATGTAAAAAAAAACAAACAAAAAAACACGGAATCCTGAAAAATGTAAATGGAAGAAAACAGAATTTGGAAAAAAATAAAATGGATTTCAAAGAACCCTAATATATTCAGGAAAAAACAGCACTCTTGCTTGTGTAATATTGCTGAACTATATCATAAAATATAAATATAAGACAAAAAAACATACAGGTCCTCATATTTTGAATTTTAGGCTACGCATTTAGTCATCATCATGTTCATCAGTAACTTCATGCAATGTAAGATGACATACAGGTCTGAACCGGGATGGGGTGCGTTAAATGCGTTAAGAATTTTGTGTTAAATTCACAGCCCTTTATATATATATATATGCATCACAGGCTGTGAAAAGAGCCAAGTACACAAGTGATTTGCTTCAACCTTTCCAAACTTGAACGTCTAGATGGCAGTGAGCAGAAAACGGCTGTCTCAAGCACACACAGATGTGCCACAGTGACATATAGCTGTGGTTAGAAATGAACACAATTGCAATCCTTCAGAATTGAGTCAAAATAGTGATGAATAATCTTTTCCTCTCACCACTATTTTGAGTGCACTGCATGCTCTGGTCAGCAGTGATTTTGCTTTTTTAGTAAGGACGGATATTTAACTCGATGTTAAAAAAAATTAAAACAATGCACGGATCTGGATCAGTATTGCCCTCTTTAAAATTCAGATTGGCGTAATCAACTTCAGATGGGTGTAAAAGTGAAACTACAGAGAGTAGGGTCTTTAACAGGAAGCCAAAGGCCCCAGCAGAATAAAGCACTGCTGGGTAACAATGAGCACCGCTGCCTTGAGCTCACACAGCTCAGTGTTTGTGCTGGAGGGGGTCAAAGCAAACAGACTGCCAGACCGGCAGACTCTTTAGAAAGAGAGAGAGAGAGAGAGAGAGAGAGAGAGGAACACAATTGCAATCCTTCAGAATTGAGTCAAAATAGTGATGAATAATCTTTTCCTCTCACCACTATTTTGAGTGCACTGCATGCTCTGGTCAGCAGTGATTTTGCTTTTTTAGTAAGGACGGATATTTAACTCGATGTTAAAAAAATTAAAACAATGCACGGATCTGGATCAGTACTGCCCTCTTTAAAATTCAGATTGGCGTAATCAACTTCAGATGGGTGTAAAAGTGAAACTACAGAGAGTAGGGTCTTTAACAGGAAGCCAAAGGCCCCAGCAGAATAAAGCACTGCTGGGTAACAATGAGCACCGCTGCCTTGAGCTCACACAGCTCAGTGTTTGTGCTGGAGGGGGTCAAAGCAAACAGACTGCCAGACCGGCAGACTCTTTAGAAAGAGAGAGAGAGAGAGAGAGGTGGGGGAGGCAAACAGCAGTCTGTAGTGGAAGAGAGAGTGAGGTGGAAACGCTGTGTAGAGGAAGACGGGAATGTGAGGTTTGGCAGCTGCCGCAAACGACAGGATTTTACAGCGGTTCAGGACTGTGTTTTACAAACTCTCAGAAATTCCCCCTGTTTCAACGTGTGGGTGGAGACAAGTATTTTTGGATATGACCGTGGAAAAGTTCATGGAGAGTAACTAGTAAAGGATGGAGCGAGATTTAATAGGGTCATATCACGAGAACTCGAATTATCCTGGATCTTTAGGGTTAGGGTAGGGTTAGAGTGTGTGTGTGTGTGTGTGTGTGTGAGAG